CCAAGGGTCTCTTCCAACCTCAATGATTCTATGATTCTATGTCATGCTGTAGCCAATGCTTGAGAGATTCTGATGGTCCAAGCTGGGGCAGAGCACTAAAGCAAGTGGTGGGGAAAGTTGCTAGATAGATAGTTATAAAAACGCTAGCCAAAATCAAATTTTCCTGTCTTGCTGAAATGTGGGGAGGGTGGTTATCAACACATCGTAAGAGGAAGGTGAGGAGAACAGTTCAGGGTGTTGCCACGTTTGGCTTAATTTCTAAGGAGACGCCACAACCACCAGAACACAACTGGCATCTGTGAATCAGACACCAGCTGTGGCCAAACATGAAGGAGGACAGATTCAAGAAGTGGAACAGAGCAAGGACTGGTTTTAGAGAGGGGAAGGCAGGGTAAGAGTAAGGACTGAGAAATCACCTGTAGAAAATGGACTGGCCGTAGGAGAGCCAGGAGGGGGTTGGAGGTAGGTCTGTAGTGGAGACTTCAGCCACTGTCTTGGCTATGAACTGGTGTTTGATGGTCAACACGTGGAACAGAGCCTCTTGGACACAGCAGGGATGGAGGTAACGAAGGGGGCTTAGCACTCTGGAGGAAGTCAGGGGATGGAGGAAACTGAAGCTGACTGTGAAGGTTCCACCAGCCCTGCTGCAGCCCCCCCGTTCTGGGAGAAGGTGGGGACTAAGGGTAGGAAAAAAAGGGGCAGACTTAAAGATATGAAGGGACAGAACTAGAAAACAAACTGCAACAGTGAGAATATCTTGGCAGTCAAAAAAAAAAAAGGCAGTGGTTTCCCCAGCTGCTGTAGGAAAGAGGGGAAGTCAGCTGAAACTGGTGAGAGTTCAACTGAACATCACAGAATCACATGGGGTTGGGAAGGGACCTCTGGAGATCATCTAGTCCAACCCCCTGCCAAAGCAGGTCCACCCGGAGCAGGTTGCACAGGAACGTGTCCAGGTGGGTTTGGAATGTCTCCAAAGAAGGAGACTCCACCACCTCCCTGGGCAGCCAGGGAGCACGTTGGTCCTGGAGGAGTACGGCACCCACCTTCTGATTTAGTGGCGCCAGGAGCAATTCCATCTGCTTTAAACTGGGTCCAGCTAAGCTGCTGGCTGCAAGACTGTATTTTAAAAACTTTGCTAATAAAAAAATATATTTAGTCCATGTCTTGTGTGCACCTCCTTCCTGCGAGCAGCGTGAGCCGAGATAATACGTGCTAGAAAAGAGCAATTCCAACAAACCCTCAACCAACCTTTGGGTCACGCACAAAAATGCAAGAAACAAGATCTGAAGGTAAGTTTCTGCTTAGATGTTGTTGTTTTTTTTTTTTTTTTAAGTGAGGAGCACCGTTTTGTCAAAAAGGTGGGGATGCTTGCAGGCTGTGGTTTGAGGCAGATGAAAGAAACCTTAGATGTCACGCCCGAGCTACTGAACTTTTTTTTTAACCTTCTAAAGAAAAATGAAGGCCAGGCGAGTTCTCTCAGAAAACTGGTGAAATCCTGGGGCACCAGCCCCCCCCAGACTGCAAAGGGAGCCCGCAGCCAGACTCCTGAACCACAGAATACAAAGGTAATGGCTTTTGTTTATGCTCCGAGCTTTTGCTTTACCTATAAAGGCAGCGCTCCAGGCTGGGGGCAGAGTGGCTGGAGCTGCCGGGCAGAAAAGGACCTGGGGGTGTTGGTGGACACCGGCTGAACATGAGCCAGCAGTGTGCCCAGGTGGCCAAGAAGGCCACCAGCATCCTGGCCTGTGTCAGGAACAGCGTGGGGAGTAGGGCCCGAGAGGCGATCGTCCCCCTGTACTGGGCACTGGTGAGGCCTCACCTCAAGTGCTGTGTCCAGTTTCGGCCCCCTACCATAAAAAAGACATTGAGGTGCTGGAGCGGGTCCAGAGAAGGGCGACAAAGATGGTGAGGGGTCTGGAGCACAAGTCTTATGAGGAGAGGCTGAGGGAGCTGGGGTTATTCAGCCTGGAGAAGAGGAGGCTGAGGGGAGACCTTATTGCTCTCTACAACTACCTGAAAGGAGGGTGTAGAGAGGTGGGGGTCGGTCTCTTCTCCCAAGTCACAGGCGACAGGACAAGAGGAAATGGCCTCAAGTTGCGCCAGGGGAGGTTCAGGCTGGATATTAGGAAAAATTTTTTCACTGAAAGGGTTCTCAGGCATTGGAATGGGCTGCCCAGGGAGGTGGTTGAGGCACCATCCCTGGAGGTGTTCAAAAGACGGGTTGATGTAGTGCTGGGAGGTATGGTTTAGTGATGATGCTCCTTGTTTGTTGTGTGGGTGTCTATTTTTGTCAGTTAGGTTGACAGTTGGACAAGATGATCTTTAAGGTCCCTTCCAACCTAGAAGATTCTGTGATTCTGTGATTCTGTGATAAAACTGTCGTCTTTATTTCAACCCGTGAGTTTTCCCCCTTTTACCCTTCTGATTCTCCTCCCCCACCCTCCTGGGGTTACCCCTCAGCAGGGCTTTATAAAATAAAGGAAACATCAGGTGAAGTTAATGCAATAGTTCCAGAGGTAAATACGGATGTTCAGGCTCCCAGGACTTGGATCCTGTCATCACATCCTTCATCATCTACCTCCAAAATTCCAGGAACAGAAGGCCCAAACCAGTCAGCCAACAAGCATGTTTCCTCTAACGGCTGGAGCTGAAAATCATGACCAAGTTATGCTGAAATGGAAGGAGAGCTTCAGTATTATCAGTAGGATTTGTTCCAGGGCTTCGGAATTACAATTCAAGCCATGGGTAACGGGGAGAGAGAGGTTTAGCTCTTGAACCCCCTTTTTTGATGCACGTGTCACTTCACGTTGAACTAGCAAGAGGCTCAGGTTCATCACCCACAGGCCTCTCCTCAACCAGACAGCAGATGCAACCGGATGAAAAACCAAACTGCCACCTATTTCTCACCCTCAGGTTGCACCCAAAGCAGAAACACACAATGGGTCTATCTTTAGCCAAGTGCTGATTTTACTTTCCTTTTTCTGAGCGCTACTGTGGACATCTCCAGGGTGCCCTCCCCTCTTGAGGGCACCCAACTGCAGAGAAAGCTGATGGTGCAAGTGTTGAATCAGGGAAGAAAATACTCTGAACGTCCTTGACCAACTGGTCAAGAAGGTACCAAGACAGTCCTGAAGAAACATTGGTTTTTGAAGACCTATTATTTTCTGAGACCGTGCAACCATGCTAAATTCAGCTTATCTGCCAGCTTGAGACACACAGATCTCCTCACGATGCCATTCCTCAACATCTGAAACACAACAGAGTGGTTTGAAACAGCTCAGCTCATCTCACTTGCACGCTCTGAGCTCCTGCCAAAGGAAGCAGTTTTGTTAATGAGTACTTAAATTCAACTTCATCAACCAGATGATTTCAGATCCTACCATTCTGCCTCCCCAAACAGGATGCCAAGGAGCTACTTCCATCTCCACCTGCATGTGATGACGTCATACGGCTAAGTAGAAAGCCTGGAAGGCTTTTCTTACCATACTTTCAGGGAAATCCCTCAAATTCCAAACTCTCAGATCATTAAGATGAGCTCTCCTAACCTAAGAGCGGATAGCTTTTTTTTTAGCTTTCAGTGTTGATAGAGATGACAGAGTTATTTAGAAGGGCAGAGTTTTACACAGTGATTGCACAAACTAAAGGAGAGAAAGAAGTGGGTCAAATCATTAAAAATGCCAAATTGGGGTGCCAGTAGCTCTTTAAGACTTTCTCTGGCTTGGAAGTAGCTTTTAACAAATGGACATTCAAACAATTGGAGTTAAAGCTGCAAATGAAAAGATGTTTGAGCAAGAGAAAAAAGCTGGTTTTTTTCAGCTCCAAGACTTTCTGTAACAGTAACAACAGCAGTTGCTCCACATCATGAACCACAAAGAAGGCCATCGTGACTGGGTACCAGCTCCAGTTCAGCCTCTCTCAACAGACTCCCAATTCTTAAGACATCATCCAGGAGAACATGCAAAAGGTGGCCACTTCACTTCCTTTTCTCCCTTTCAGAGGAAAGCTCATCGGTTTCCCTTGGCCTGAATCTTCATAACTGGACAACTGACATTATCTCCAACAGCCAGGGGATTCATTTGGGTTCTCTGCCACTAGATCTACAGCTTTCAAGTTTTGCTTTTTTCATTTTTCCATGGAAACTCCCCCCCCCCCACACACAAACCCCAACCAGGTTTGTGGGGTTTTCTTAAGTCTTATTTTGGGGGTGTGGGTTCCCCACCACCACCACCGGCCTCCTGGAAGCCAGCAAATTCAGTCTTCTCCTCCTCCTCTAACTCGAGTCTCACTATAAATAAAACCAATTACAGAATATGAGACATCATTAGATCAGAATTTACACTTCTGAGGAACACCCAAGGTTATTTCTCATTTAATACTCCAGGAAAGTACACAGACTCTCAAAATCTGATGGTCTTCATCATGCACCTTTAGGGCTTTGTGTATATGTCTTTTGTTCTTTAACAACCAAACATAGCATTCTTCTGTATGCAATAGAAAGGAAATACACAGAGAAAGAAACTGCACTTGCCTCTCTCTCCCTTCCCAAGAAACCAAAATTAAAACACTTGCTGCTACTGCAAAGTTTTTTGGTATCTTTTTCAGAGTTTGTAGCTGTTTCTCGTCTAACTGTAGGCTGCTTAAAAAAATATTGAAGATCTGGAGATATTATAGGGCAAAAATCACTGAATTTACATTTGTTTTAAATTTGCCATCACACAAAATTGGCTAAAAATAATCTGATGTCACCAACTTCAAAAATAGGAAGAAGCTTGACCTTATACATATCAAATACTTGTTGTTTACTCAGATACAAATTTAAAGTTTTGCCTAACTTATTTATGAAGTCTTCAAAAACCTCCACCTCGAGACCAAATTGACACTATACAAAAATCTAACTAACAAAGCCTTTCTGAAAAGATAGAAGCCTGATGTACCTTCCTTTTTTCCTCCAGCTGGCAATGATAAGCAAACACTAGAAATAAACAGCCTAAAATGAGTTCTTAAGTATCTGCAGTATTTTACTGAGCATTACTCCAAAGCAAATAATGCAAAGGTCTTGAAAAAGTGCAACCCGTAATTACCAAGCAGTGAAAGAAACATCTCTTTTTCTTTAATAAAAAAGCAAGACTTAAAAACAAGTCTTACAATGACAGATTACAGGCTGTAACCAGCAAGCCTAAGGAACAGAATGCAGATTTTGCTAGAGAATCTCCGTAAATTCAGGTCACAATTTATCTTCTCCTTTTCACATTAGGATCGTATCTGCAACAAAAAAAGAACATTTGTCACAAATAAGTAAAACTCAATGATATTCAAAGTTAACAGTGTGATGCAAATAGTTTTATTATATATTCATAAAAGAGATTGGCCAGCATTCAGCCCTTTCCCTGACTGCACTTCTATAATTAACTAAGTTGCTATAATTTGACTAAAGAGACATAAGCTAGAACCTGTACGTGAACCAGGAATGAACTTTACTAAAATTTTCACTGACTTCCTAGCTCCTTAAAATCTTTAAATCTGATACATTAGCAAGTTTCTCCAAGTTCTTAGTGTCCCAATGTTAAATTCCTGACTGAAAAAAAAGAGTAAAAGGGGAGGGAGGAAAAAGAGGTACTGTATATTCACAGCAACCTAGAACGTGTGGCCACAATTGCTACCACTTGGCCGCCTCTTTCTCTCCATTTGTGCTTCATCTCCCAAAATCCTGGGTCACTTCTTTGAAATTCTGTTGTGTTTTGTATTCACACATGAATAACTTGTGGACACAACAGAATGATCAGGCGGTTTTACTTCCACTAAGTCTGCTTTTTTTTTTTTTTTGCTTAGACAGGAAAATGTGACAACTTGTGAGCCAAATTACATCACCACATAACTAGAAAGGTATTAGAAGTCACTGCTCCTGCTGTACATCTCAGACTCCTGGCAAAAATGAAATGTGTACCCTTTGGAATGAAATCTTTGCTAAAAAAAAATGAGATCCTTACGTTACAACTCAAAAGTGTTTCTTTGAATTTATTGCTATAGCATTGTAAAACATTAGTTCTGATATTTACTGTGTCCTGGACACCAAACCCTATTTTGAAGGGGGTAAGGAAGGAGAGGGGGGAAGGTAAACAGGCAGGAGAAGGGGATGATACATGATGGAAACCTGCCATCAGGACACCAAGAGCTTTAACCCTGTCTGTGACTGTCCATGGAGATGCTGACACTTGAACATGTCATCTCCCCTACCTCACCTCCAGTCATGTGCCACATTAAACGAAGCCTGGATGATGGTTTCCAGACCAAAAGAATCACACAACTTTATCAGAGAAAGAAGGCTGTAGGGTGCCTGTGGCCTGAAATGGAAAATGGACTTACAGAATTCCACTGCTGGGAGTGAATGCACAAAGAAACAAAAGAGCTTGCTGGGAAGAAGGAGCGAAGGAGACAGAGGGCTGTCACTGAAGGTGATCCATTGATCTGCAGTCTCAGCAGAGGGTTTGATAAGCCTTCCCTTCCTCCCCTATCACAGGACGTACCCAGCAGCAGCTGAGGGCATGGCTTTTCCTTCTAGCTCACCTTTACCTTGGCTGTCTCCCATAACATCCTCATTTTGGGAAACTGAGGCAGTGTGGGCTGGATGAGGGGACAGTGAGGTGGAGTGAGAACTGGCTGTGCAACAGGACCCAAAGGGTAATGATTAATGGAGCAGGTTCAAGTTGGAAGCCTGTAACCAGTAGAGTCCCCCAGGGGTCAATACTTGGACCCGTGCTGTTTAATATATTCATCAGTGACCTGGACGAGGGGACAGAGTGTATCCTCAGCAAGTTTGCTGATGATACCAAACTGGGAGGGGTGGCTGACACCCCGGAGGGCTGTGCTGCCATCCAGCAAGACTTGGACAGGCTGGAGGGCTGGGCAAGGAAGAACCTCATGAGGTTCAACAGGGAAAAGCGTAGGGTCCTGCACCTGGGGAAGAAAAATGTCAGGTACCAGTACAGGTTAGGGGTGGACCTGCTAGAGGCAACTACTGAAGAGAAAGATCTAGGGGTCCTGGTGGACAGTAAAATGGCAATGAGTAAACAGTGTGCTCTTGTAGCCAGGAAGGCCAACGGAATCCTGGGCTGCAGAGGGAAGAGTGTGGCCAGCAGGTCAAGGGAAGTCATTCTTCCCCTCTACTCTGCACTGGTGAGGCCACAACTGGAGTACTGTGTCCAGTTCTGGGCTCCCCAGTTCAAGAGGGACAGGGAACTACTAGAAAGAGTCCAGCGAAGGGCAACAAAGATGATTCAAGGATTGGAGCATCTCCCTTATGAGGAGAGACTGAGAGAGCTGGGACTCTTTAGTCTGGAGAAGAGAAGGCTGAGGGGAGACCTTATCAACGCCTACAAGTATCTCAAGGGAGGGTTGAAGGAGGAGGGAGCCAGACTCTTTTCAGTGGTTCCCAGCGAGAGGACGAGGGGCAACGGGCACAAGTTGGAACAGAAGAGGTTCCACTCAAATATGAGGAGAAACTTCTTCACAGTGAGGGTGACAGAGCCCTGGAACAGGCTGCCCAGGGAGGGTGTGGAGTCCCCTTCCTTGGAGATTTTCAAGACCCGCCTGGATGCTCCTGAGTAACATGCTCTAGCTCTGGGCAATCCTGCTTCAGCAGGGGAGTTGGACTAGATGGTCTCTATGGTCCCTTCCAACTCTAAAATTCAGTGAAATTCAGTGAAATTCAGTGAATAATGCTGCATGCCCCTCCCCAGGGGTCCACACGCCATTTGCATGGGAAACTTCAGCTGTTAACATTAGCATGGAGCCAAGTAGTTTTACTCGGGGTTAGGGCCAAAAAATTAGAAGTAGGTTCCAAACTGCTGAACATCAAATTGTACACTTTCATATTTTTGACTGTGGAAACTGTAGGTACAACTAACCAAAATAAGCAGGAGCTGAGGTAAGAACTTTTCTAAGCACGAGCGCATGCAGATTGTCTAAGTTTCCACTGCTGTGTTTCAAAAAGTTAAAATTAATCAAGATATTTTGAACCAGCACAGATTCCAGCACAGCAATCAAGCTGCACCACCTCTTTGATAAATGTCTTTGTAACTGACATGTATTTAAAGGCTGTACTGCAGATGTAAAACCTGTATAAAGTGGCAAACTTGGCTTAGAACTTCTTTTTAATTAGAAAGTGGTTATAAATCATTAAATCAGGATTAAAGTAACTGGACAGGAAATCAGTTCTCTCTTGCAAAAGAGAGATTAGGGAAAGCAGTAGCCAACTGAATTCAGGGTTATTGAACGAAAATTGCTGAAACAGACCAGTTTAGAGGCAAATGTAATAATTACGGCCAAAAGCAACGGCAACCAACCAAGGTGAACCTACCAAAGAAATCTCTCTCAAACTCCTGTGACATAAGCACTGATTAGGACAGAATCAAGGACCCTACTACACTGTCAAGAGCATAGAATGATCAGTGTAAAAATGATCCTCAGTCTGAAAACTGTAATTGAGGGAGTTTCTAACAAGAATAATAATAAAAAAAAAAGGTAGGAGCTCTTTCATTCTGAATTTGAAAGCAGCAGGTCATAAAGATAAGGAACACAGAGGGGCCATACTGAAGGAATTACTTAGGTTATTTTTTATTTTAAGTTCTGGGAATCATTACTTCAAAGAAGAAAAAAAAAAAAAAAGGGAAAGCAGTCCTGCCAATCACTTTTTCACAGAACTGTTGCTTTAGCTCCCTCAAGTGACTCAGCACAGGGAGAGACAAGTGCCATGGCCAGAATGCAAAAGTGGCAGACCCCACCACTTCTTCTTCACAGTTCACAGGACTGACTTACTTAATTGTAAGATCAAAACACTTAATTAGGATCTAGCAAACTCTAATGGTGGAAAGCCTGACCCCTGGAATCTCTTCCAACCTCTGGGAACAATCATGGCTGTGCATAAGAGCCAGGAAATAACAACATTTTTGAGAGAAGTTACCGAGTCATTTTGGGTATATTCCATACATGGGAATACATGGAATTCCAACAAGAATAATCAAAGTAGTCTTTTACAAAATTGGAATTTGTCCAAGAAAGATGTGATGCAAAAAATAGGCATTTTTTAAGTACAAACATAAATCTCTCACCTGAAGAGATCATCAGCAAGCGATTCTTCTCTTGCATGTCGGTTCTGCTCCTGAGGAAATAAACTTATTCAGTGTTTGACGTTAAGGATGAAGCTTAATGAACAATACAGGAAAAACAATATATTCCTGAAGAATTAAGTTTTCTCCAAGTACTCCATTCAGTGCACATTCACATTAGATAATATAATTAACTACTCAGCTTTGGCTACTACTGCCAACTAATGGAATGGGTAAGTTTGTGCAAGATGTTTGTGCAAGATATGAAGTTTGGTTAGAAATATGTTTTGTGGTTTTAAGCATCATTATAGAAATAGGGAAAATTTTATCTGATTATTGGGGCATAAAGGGAATTTTAATCAGCGTTATCTAAATCTAGGGATTATAAAAAAAAAAAAAGGAGATAATCAAAACCTGTTGCTGTAACAGGATCTCTGTCAGACTGGAAACAGAATGTGACTCACCAGTAAGTATTTTAAAAAAAAACACTATTGGAAAATGAAAGTTCTAGAGAACTGCTATGATACAACATAATATTTTTTACAACTTTTTTATACAGAGGTGAAGACATTTACAACAGAAAAAATACTAGATTATTATATCTCTTCAGTATACTCAAGAGAATTTTACTCAGGTATTTTCTGCTCTGTTCAAGAGCAGAATATCAATTGTACTGTATAACAATTTGAACACAATTAACTATACAGAAGTTCTCCCTAGCTCCCCATCACATTTTTAGAAGTCACAAGTTTCTATAAAGCTGCTTTTTTTAATAAGCAAAATAATTCTCTTTTAGGTTATTGATTTGGCTTTAAAACTGTATTTCTGATTACATGAATGTTGCATGTAAAATTAATTCAAATAATCAGCAAAAAGACGAGCCTTACCACTGACCTCTGACTTTCAGTGCCTTTTCTAACGCCTCTGTTCCTATGAGCATGTGTGGACAGCTAATTGGCTGAGGGTTTTTTTTCAAAAATAAAATTCTGAAGCATTTCAGTAACAACCATAGATTGGTAGGACTACTGACATAAATCAAGTCTTTGTTCCCATCCTCAAGAAATAATTCCTTACCTCCATTTCTTGCCTTAACCAGTCCTCTAGCTCTGAATTCTTTTTAGCATGGTGAGCAATCAAATCTGATCCTCCAATAATGTAGGGAAGTTGTCCTGCCCCGGGATAAGATACCTGCCAGACAACAAATCCTTATAACTACAATACAAGGCAAGCACACTGCAGGTAAAAGGTCTGTTTTAACTAATTCAGAAAGTCTATTCGGGTATTACAGAAGAAAATCAGTCAGTCTTCCTTTGAATAGCATTTATCAGAGATATTTAAAAGATATTGAAGTGAAAAATGCATTTACAGAAAGCTATTAATTCCTTTTTTCCAGTAGAAAGAAAGAAAGAAACAAAGCTGACAAGTTATATATGCTAAATAAATCTGATAGTACATTAAATGGAGTCTGAAAACGTTATAAACTGATTTTTACTGATAGAATTGATTTTATCATCAGAATGCATAAGCATCTATTATGAAATGGTGGGAAAAAAATACTGTCATAAATTTAAAGTGTTATGTAAAAATGAGAGCATACTCCCAGAAAGCTGGAAGTTGCATCAGGTGACTCTCACTCTCTACACAATATCTTACTGAAATGCATTTCTAGTAATCCTATACTTTTTTAAAAAAAAAATCTGAAGTGCTATATTTACATTGAGCACTAAGAATTTTCTTGAAATTATCTTCAGGAGCCAAGCAAGCAATAATCTTACTTTTGTAAAATAATACATTTAATTCTACTTAGATATCCAAGATTCATTAGATAAAATGGAATATTCTGAATCAGCACATGCTTTATAAGTAGGTCTTTGGAGAAGTGAGATTTCTACCTTTTGGAGGCACAACCACAAGTTACAGCAGGCATCACTCAACCACTTACTCCAAGTAACAGCTTGGTATAGAGAGGAGAAATATCTAAATAATCTAGCACAAGGTAAACCTTTGTCAGCTGGTACTTATGTCAATTGGCAAAATACTGATTAACAGTACAATATGGTATTTCAATTGTTTCTTTCTGTAACTACTATAAATTAAAAAAAAAAAATTTCATAACATATTTCTACAATCTTAAGGCTACGCTTTTCAGTGTTTTTAAACAGTGCCATCTTGTGACCATTTCAAATACACACGAACCTTTTTGAAGGTTTTGAAATTCTTCTTTCCTCCATAGCTGGCATTTCCAGTCAGCTGACTGCTCTGTCTTGGATGGCTGACAACCAGTGATCTAAACTCAGTCAAGAGAAGTCTGCTGGGAAGATTGCTGGAGTCATCCTGCAGTTCATGGCGGTTCTTACGTGGGAAGAGAAAAGGAAGGAGCACTTTAAGTGGATAAACAGACACACAGCACATCTAACAGTATAAACTTCAGAGAAAGATCCTATCAAGAGTACAGCTGAGGCAAAAGTTAGGATTACAAAGGGAAGCAGCAGTAATGTTGGAAGCCAAGAAGATGGAGGTACTTCCCAGCCTCCTCATATGCTACCAAAAGAGCTGCGAGCTCAGTAGATTTCTTTCTTTCTTATTTACCTCTGTTGAAAAGACAGAATCATTAGTAGAACAGTAATAATGAAGTCAGTATACCTCATTTCACCAGGGTTTTACTTATGGCTCTACCTTGCCTCTTAGCTGGACTCATTTATTGAAGGATGCTTACTCTAATGGAAACTCCAGTTAGAAGGAGTTGTACGTCTTGAACTCAATTCTAGCCTGGAGATTTTACCATTTAGGCCAACTTTAGGGCTGTAAGCTCCACCTGCTCAATGAAGCAACTTTTCCTGGTACACGAGAATGCTCGTATGCCAGCAAGGTGGCATGCAGTTTGCTGCCTGGGGCTAGACCTACGTGGATTAAAAAAAAGAAGTCCGGGTGCAGGACAAGTTCAGGAGTAACCTTCACGGACAGCCCCAGCCCAGATGCAGTACAGTTGTTTTATAGAATCATAGAATTGCCCAGGCCAGAAGGGACCTCCAAAGGTCATCTAGTCCGACCCCCCGCAGTCAGCAGGGACACCCCCAACTAGACCAGGTTGCCCAGGGCCTCGTCGAGCCTCTCCTTGAATATCTCCAGGGATGGAGCCTCAACCACCTCCCTGGGCAACCTGTTCCAGTGCTCCACCACCCTCACAGTGAAGAACCCCCTCCTGATCTCCAATCTAAATCTGTTCCCCTCCAGCTTGAAGCCATTGCCCCTCGTCCTGTCACTGCAGGCCTTTCTAAACAGGCTCTCCCCAGCCTTCCTGTAGGCCCTTCAGGTACTGGAAGGCTGCTATTAGGTCTCCCTGCAGCCTCCTCTTCTTCAGGCTGAACAACCCCAGCTCCCTCAGCCTGTCCTCGTAGCAGAGGTGCTCCATCCCCCTGATCATCCTTGTGGCCCTCCTCTGGACCCTCTCCATCAGGTCCATGTCCTTCTTATATTGAGGGCTCCAGACCTGCACACAATACTCCAGGTGAGGTCTCACCAGAGCAGAGTAAAGTGGCAGAATCCCCTCTCTGGACCTGCTGGCAACGCTTCTTTTGATGCAGCCCAGGATGCGATTGTCCTTCTGGGTTGCAGCTGCCCACTGCCTGCTCATGTCCAGCTTCTCCTCCACCAGCACCCCCAAGTCCCTTTCCTCAGGGCTGCTTTCCAATCCCTCACCCCCTAGTTTGTATTGGTGGCGAGGATTGTTCTGGCCCAGGTGCAGAACCTTGCATTTGCTCTTGTTGAACCTCGTGAGGTTCACCTGGGCCCACCTCTCCAGCCTGTCCAGGTCCTTTTGGATGACATCCCATCCCTCTGGTGTATCGACAACACCACACAGCTTGGTGTCGTCCGCAAACTTGCTGATGGTGCCTTTAATCTCCCTGTCTATAGCAAAGTATTAATTAAAAGTCCAGCAAGCTGAGCTGACCCCGCACTCTGGTATATCTGCACAGCGTTCCCTCTTCTGGGGCTGTTTTCTGGATATATGTGAAAAAGTTTTATGCTGCCCCTTGTTGTCTGCCTCCATCCTCCTTTATCTCTTCAGAACCTTTCCACTTGAGTTTCATTTAGCCTCGTCTCCTTTTCCTCTGCCTCACTACCATTCCCAGCAACTTTCCCCTCCTTCCTTCCTTCCTCTCACCTACCACAAAGCAAGCACACTATTTACTGTTAGTCACCCTATGTTACTTCTATTTTCTCAATGGTCCATCTCTTCCAGTCAAAGAGATTGCATTCATGGCTGGTCTTTAAGCAGTCACCTAACAAAAACCTCAGTCTAAGTACTAACCACACTGAAGGGTTAATACAGTTACATTAGGTTGCTGTCAGTTTCGGTCATCTTAAGTATCCACCCAAGTGCCACTGCAAAAGGCCACAGATGAACTATTCACATTTACACATAATTATTTTAAGGAGTACCGTGGTCTTAAAAGCAAAGTTTTGATGCATTTTCTTAACGCTTCCCAAAGTTTGCTGTTTGAACTTCTTACCAAGACTGGCAGCTCTTGCTTGATCTCGCTTTTCATTTCTGAAGTTAGAACCGATTCAAGTTCCTCTTCTTTCTATTCAATTAAAAATTATTTAAAATGTAACACTGAAATTAAAAGCAAATGTAATTACATAAAATTGCTTTCTGCTCTTTACAGTGGAATAAGCATTTTCAAATCAATATATATATTTAGACAGAAAAGAAACTGCACTGGATTTTTAAATTTTTATGATTTTACATACACTGTAACAACTGTTGGGGTGTTTTTCTATTACAAAAATCACTTATTTTTTCATTTTTTCTTCTTCCCTTATACCAGTATCAAGTTTTGCCCATGTGTACAATATTCAAAGTCTAGCCAGGCTCTGAAAAACACTGTAAAACTTTTTGAATATAAAATGGACACTTCATTACTAGGATAGGAAAGTATTCTGTGGGTTGCTTTCCTCTCAGTTTAAAACCAGATTTGCCTTTCATACTTTATTTTCAGTGGTTGAAAAAAAAAAAAAAAAATCAGATCAGGTTTATACAACCTGTAGCTTTCGAGTCAACTATTCATGTTTTCTGTCTTGCCAGATACACAAGGTGCATCTATACTTAAAGAGGTAACATACATATGCCTGTGGAGCTTTATCATGAAATCTCCTTCCTGTTCCAATGGAAATATAATTTATGTGAAGAAAATAGGCCATTATTAAACTATTAGAAGATTTTTTGTCAGCAAAAATCTTCTAGTGCACATCTGATGAAATAATAGTTTAGTTAGACATAAGACTTTGTTTTCCTTCATGACTCTGACAAGAAGTTAGACAAGAGAAACCCCCCAGGCCATAACAGAATTCAAAAGACTATTCCAAGCAGCTGTTTTAATCTCTCAGTATGGTCAGACAAGACAAAGTAACTCCTCTCTGACAGAAGAAAGAGCAAAAACCAAAGATTCTCACAAATTATAAGACTCCAGTAAAGTACTGAGAGCATGACCAAGTCTCATCTGATCCAAGGTTACCTTGCAATTCCAGGTACTCAATCATACGTTCAGACTTTATTATTACAGCATTTAATGCTGTAGGAGAACTGGCTAGGAAAGTAAGCTTGAACATATATGTATATTTTTAAATAAACAAAAATTAAACCTGTTCCTTCTCTCCTATTCCCCTCTGCATTATTCAGTCCACTTTGCTAGAGCTCTCAACACCGTTTTCCTCTACAAAATTGCTTTTGGTTTTTTTTTTTTTTTTTTTTTTTTTTTTTTTTAAAAAAAAAAAAAAAAAAAAAAAAAAAAAAAAAAAAAAAAAAAAAAAAAAGTTCTAGGAAAAATATTAAACCCTTCTTGCATCTATCTGATTTCTAGCAAGTTCTTAAAAGCTGAGAGAAAAAAAGTTCTGAAAAATTGGCGTTTTTTTTTTTTTTTTTTTTTTTTTTTTTCAATGAAGTGGCTACTGTTAACTCAAAATCCATTGTTCTCTTAATTTCTCTAGAAAACTGCCTCACTCTCAAAACCAGAAACAGGAATAGTCAAGAAAACTGACAGCAAGCAGTGGTTTGGGTTTGATTTTTGGTTGTTTTGGTTGTTTTTTGTTGGTTTCAGTGGTTTTTTTTCCCCCTCCTAAGAGGACAGCAGTGATTTGAATTGCCTCATACAGAACTTTAATAATCATTCAGGTGACACCTAGAGACACTGACTTGAAAGTGTTGTATTCAACAGAAGGGGTCAACTCAAAGTTTCTTCAGAGAATTCATTACATAAAGATGATATAATTGCATAAGTTTTTTTTCGTATAACTATCAACACTATAATTAATGTGACCTGAGAAGTTTTTTCTTGGACCAGTGATACATTCTGCTGTTCTACCTACAATACTTCAAGAAAAAAAGAGGGGAAAACTTTCAGAACACGAGCAGCTTTCAATTCACAAAGAAACAATTTCCTGAGGAATGAAAAAAAACCCACTGAGAGGGGTATAATGCTGCAATCTTCACATGGAAACAACATGTCATGACAATTTTTAGTTCAGACTGATTGCAGAGGTTTAAGCAAACAAACTTTACAAAGCCACCTTCTGTATACAGGCAGCCTTATCCTTAAAGGAGCTATCTGCACCCTTCTAAATAAGTTGCAAATGTTATGATTAGGCACACAAGAAGAAGATAAACTTACCAATGTTTTATTCTCCTCTCTCTGTTTTATGTTTACTTCTTGAGCCCTGCTTCCTTTAGCTTCCAGACATCTTTTTTTTCGTGTATTTCCCTGAGCTTCCTGGTCATGATCTGCCATTTGATCTTCCCAGTCTAAGTCTCTGCTTCCAAACACAATTTCTAGTGCCTCTGTATCTTCAGATAAATCATCTAACTCCTTTCTCTTCAGTGCAGGCTTTTCACTAGAAGCAGTTCTAGCATCTGGTTTATCAGTCCCTAGTTTACCACTTCCTCGTGTCAACTTTATACCCGTGTCTTCTAATGCCAAATGTGGGTTTGGGTCCCCAGTTTTATTTTCCTTTTGATGCTGTTGTGCTTCACTGTTCCACACTGATGCAGCTTCGCGTTCGGTGCACTGGGAAACAGGCGATGACCTTTTCTCTACTTTTGCTAGTTTGGATACAGATGTTTCTTCTCCTTCTTCTGCTCTTTCCCTTAGACAATTAAGCAATTACAAAAGAAATAAATGACAAAAGCATTTTTTTAATCTGGCTAGCTGCATGCTCTACGTAACAGTTTCCTGGGGTTTTAGTGACTGTACTGTGAAATTTGAACACACGTACCCTTGAGGAAAAGCTTGCAATTCTAGGAAGCTGATCTAAAAATTACCTTTTTAAGTATGCCTTCAATTAAACGTACATCCCTTGAGTTAAAATTATTTTCCAGAAACTGCACCAACATAACAATAAGGGAAGTAATGTCAAGAACATTTCAACATACCTTTTTCTGGCTACCTGGAAGTAATTTGCAATTGAGTTGGACTGGTGACGTGAAGCACACTCACTAGGTTTACCAGCTTCTGAAATCTTGGATGGTGAGACAGGTTGACTTTTTTGACTAAACCCAGATGTTCTGTTCACTCTAGATACCGATGCTCCTGCATTTACACTGCTGCTTGTGCTGGGGTTTTTCTTTACAGTGATTGTATCGTGGAAAACCATTTGCCCTCTTCTTTCCATCAGGGGAGTATTCTCTATCTCCATGCTACATTAGAGAGAAAAAAATATTAAGTGAATACACAAGAAGTTACCACAGAGATACACTGTACAATACCACTTTTTAAAAAAAGCTCTACCTGTACTTTGAACATAAACAACACAGGTATCCTAAAAACGAATTGTAAAACCTGCTAAGATAAATATATAATTGTGAAATGGTTTGAAAATTTGTAATAGTTAAGGTAGTCAAGTCACTCATGTCTGAAAAAGGCATAGAAGTTCTATGTTCTAGTGTTATCTCCAAAAAGGTAACACTAGATATCTCCAAAAAGATCTGCTCCAAAGCAGAAATCATCTCCCTGCAGCCAAGTGCCAGCAATTCAGTAAGTGCCACTTCTGACACAGTGAGCCTCTGCTCACAGCAATGACATTCCTGGATATTAGGAAAAATTTTTTCACTGAAAGGGTTATCAGGCATTGGCATGGGCTGCCCAGGGAGGTGGTGGAGGCCCCATCCCTGGAGGTGTTCAAAAGACGGGTTGATGTAGTGCTGGGAGGTCTGGTTTAGTGATGATGCTCCTTGTTTGTTGTGTGGGTGACTATTTTTGTCAGTTAGGTTGACGGTTGGACAAGATGATCTTTAAGGTCCCTTCCAACCTAGAAGATTCTGTGATTCTGTGACACAGTTCCTCTGCCACTAAAGGCTGCTTTACGTTCAAGTATTAGCTTAGAAACTATTTCCATGAACACTTTACCGTGCCTGCTCTTCTATTTCTGTATCAGCCACGTATGCCGTGCTGTCCTCCGCAGCAGTTGCCATCATGGTTTCATCCACAGCCAGACTCTGGGAAATGGCTCGCCCAGCAACAACCCCTGAGGCAGGAATACTCGTGCTTACAGCTGCAAGAGCATCCCACAAGAAGGAAGAAAAGGTTAATATCAAAAACTGTGATTCTTTGCGCATGTAACACATTACCTGGTCTCTTCTCACAGGTAATTAACAATAGAACGAGAGGGAATGGCTTCAAGCTCCAACAGGGGAGGTTTAGATTGAACATTAGGAAGGAATTTTTCACCGAAAGAGTGGTCGGGCATTGGAACAGGCTGCCCAGGGAGGGGGTGGAGTCCCCATCCCTGGCTGTGTTTAAGGGCCGTTTAGATGCAGTGCTGAGGGACATGGTGTAGGGGAGGACTTTGTAGAGTAGGGGAGATGGTTGGACTCGATGATCCCAAGGGTCTCTTCCAACCTCAATGATTCTATGATTCTATGACATTGGTAACCGATCAGGTCAGGTTCTTTGTAAAATGGTCTTTAAACAATTTTGATAAAGAAATCAAGGAGATGTATTGATTTAAAAGAATATGAAAGAAACAGTCCTAGAGGACCACAGTCTGGGATTCAGTTTTAGTTAAATATTCCACTGAATTAGCAATAGAATTTTGCTTAAATAAAAATGAAGCGTAATGAAAAATCATATATTAATATGGACATAATGCAATTAATAAATCATGCCATATATATTTTATTCAAAACCGTCAGAGCACAAAAGTTCTTACATTTACTGCTTTATGATGATGTCTAACATGTCTTCTGAGGAGAGGCTGAGGGAACTGGGAATGTTTAGCCTGAAGAAAAGGATGCTGAGGAGAGACCTTATTGCTCTCTTCAACTACCTGAAAGGAGGTAGGTCTCACCTCCCAGGTAAAAGGCAACAAGACAAGAGGAAACAGCCTCAAGTTGCCCCAGGGGAGGTTTAGAGTGGATATTGGGAAAAATTTCTTCATCGAAGGAGTTGTCAAGCATTGGAACAGGCTGCCCAGGAGAGTGGTGGAGTCACCATCCCTGGAGGTATTTGAAACGTGTGTAGACGTGGTGCTGAGGGACATAGCTGAGTGGTGGTCTTGACAGTGCTAGGTCGATGGTTGGACTCAAAGACCTGAAAAGTCCCTTCCAACCTAGACAATTCTATGAGTCTGTGTCATTATTGTATTTGGGATTATTTCCACTAATGCAAAACAAGTATTTGCTACCAAAAAACCTTAGAATAAATGTCTTCTACAGCCAATTTCTCATAATCCCCATAGTCAGGGGATTTTCTTAAAACGTCATTGGCTGCTCTATTTAGTTTCTTGCATTATTTATCTGTAAAACAGAAAGAAGACCATATACAACAACTTTTATAGTCTGCCCTTTCACTTGTCCTTGTCTTCATATACTTAGGTCTTCTCTAAGTCAAAGAACACTAACATTTACTATTTTAGCTTATATCTCATTGCGCTTCTAGATACATTTTTCATTACTCATCTCTCAGCCCTTCACACTCTTCCTGCAGCTCATTCTGATTGAGGCTACGATGACAGTACTATCCTTTCAGAAAACCCATTCTTTGTACTTCCATTCCTATAGAGGAATAACCTGTAGACACAACTACATCATCTCCTTGAGCAACTACATCTTATATATGTTGCTATTAATTTTTCTGAGACAAGATCAGAAGAAGAAGTATGGTTTACAATCCCTTTGATTTGCAACACGTACATGGAAGTTTTTGTATAACTCCCAAACAATAGCTGGAGCATCTCTGCTATGAAGACAGGCTGAGAGAGTTGAGGTTGTTCAGCCTGGAGAAGAGAAGGCTCCAGGGAGACGTTATAGCAGCCTTCCAGTATCTGAAGGGGCTACAGGAGAGCTGGGGAGGGACTCTTTGTCACGAAGTGCAGTGACAGGACAAGGGGTAATGGTTATAAAGCGGAAGAGGGGAGATTTAGATGAGATACCAGAAAGAAATTCTTTCCTGTGAGGGTGGTGAGACACTGGAACAGGTTGTCCAGACACGTTGTGGATGCCCTGTCCCTGGAGGGGTTCAAGGCCAGGCTGGATGGGGCTTGGAGCAACCTTGGTCTGGTGGGAGGTGTCCCTTCTATGATTCTATGATTTGTTCCCTCTTAGCAAATAAACTGCAAACATAGCTACCTTTAAAAGCCTGATACACAGTCCATTTCCACAACTCAATTTATATCCAGTTGAATCATTCAGACTGGAAACAAGAATCAGCATTTCTGATTTACTCAGATGTCTGCAGGGTCAGTATCTCTAAGTTTATTCTGAGAATCAATTTATCTGGTGGTGTTCTCTTAACTAACTGGATAGACAAGAGATCATATACAAGTTACTCACACAGGAATACCAGTCAACCAAAATATTTTTCAGAGCTCTGCCAGTACTGCATGTGTATTTTTCTCTCTTCAAAACATATTTTGAAGAAGTGATGATTCTATATGTAAAGACAAATTTGTGGGGTTTTTGTTTGGCTTTTAAAAATTGCAGAATTTGCTACCTGATACAACACTCGGTAGAACAGAATAGAACCTATAATTATGCACATAACTCTGGCAATTTTCTAGAAAGGGAATATAGACTAATAATTTTGGAAGAGGCAATATACAGAAACTCTCTCTCTCTCAAATATTTTTACTATTACTGTATTAGCAAATACAAGTTCAGTTTCAAGAAACAACTTGGAATGTCCACCCCTGAACTATTACTTTAGCAAATGTGGCAATAATGTCTCATTGTTTATCCCTCTTATGTCAAGGTTATGTTTGGTTTTGAATTGGGTGAGGGGTGGTTGAATTTTCCTAAAGCAAAAGGGAGAAGCCTTTACAAATTAATTAATTCCATTCTTATTTACTCCATTTCTAACATACTTTAACCTCCCGATTACCCCAGTCTTTTCACAAAAGACAGAATAACACAGAATTTAACCACCACATATGTATTAATTCAGTGGCCACTAAAAATGCAAACTTCAGAAGAGTGTTTTAAAGTACCTTTCCTTTAAAGATCAATGTACTGTGTCTGCTCTTCAGGCTAATTTTAGATCTTCTACTTTTTTATTTTATTTACCTCTTAGAGTCCTATCTTTTTCATCACAGTTTACTGCCAGACCATTAAAAAACCAATTACCTCTTCAGACATATATATTTTTCATACAGTGTCATTCTATTTTAGGGGTCTTGCAAAACGAAAAGAACTTGAACATTAGCAGTTGGTGCTCCTGGACGAAAAGAAATACTGCCTCTTCAATGCTGTTAACTTACTACTACCTTTCTTCCACTTACCTTTGTTACCAAGCTGCTTTTGAGGGTTGCAGTATTTTTCCGTCGACATGAAGATAACTGCCAATCCGATTTCTGCCTCGGGAATAGCCCTGATATTCTTGCTGTTAATACACAAAATAAAGACAAAAAAACCACCCCAAATGTTTCTCAATGCAGATTCCAAGATGAACAGGTGAATGGTACAAAATGTTCCATTCCTCCTTTCAAAAAACATGGGTCTACATTATAATTTTTCAGAATACAGTAAGTCAGCATAATTATCCATCATTATACCCATGTCCCATACGTAAGAACTTCCACGTTTCCTGCAGCTGTAGCCAAGTCCCAGGAACTTGGCCAAAGCATCACTCCCTACCTCATTTCTGGGCATTTAACCAACCTGTGCTCTACCTCCCATTCAAAAATGTGGGTGAATGAAAATATGACTTGAAAGATATGAGTGCTGCTTGCAAGTCAGTTAGGCACAGACACATCCCCCCACCCCTTTTCTGTACTACAGCCAGAGCAGAGCTTGAGTACAGTTTTCTCTACTGAGCAGGGAAATTCAGAGGAACTAAGTTTATCTATCAGGTTAAGGATTAGGAGTTTGTTTTCTTTCATTGTTTTAATAAAATGGCCTCATGAAAACCCTAATATCTCTAAAATATGCACTCTGCCCTCTCCAACAAAACCTACCACCAAAACAAAAACGGGTTTTCATTAAAGAGAAACTTCTCTTCAGAAACACTGTATGCAAATCATTAGACAGCGACGAACCACATGACCTCAAGGTGCCATCTCGTCTGTGTTGCATGAAATAAGTATATATAATTATTGAAAAAATCATAGATGATCCATTCTTCATTCTTAGAATATATTAATTTTTAACTTCTTTTAAACAGTAGAAGAAAAACCACTTGCTATCTGTAACGTCAAATGAAATTTTGCAGAATCAGATCCTCCAAAAAAGGAAAAAGAAAAAAAAAGAAAAAAACTCCCATCAAATTCTCACCAAACTGCCAAGTCCTTCCTTTCCTGCTTCAAGAAATTCTAGTTACTACACTAAATACTTCAAGCACTGAAGAAAATGATCTCTTTATAAGCATCCTACTGCTTAAATATGTATGAAAACATCATGACTAAATGTTAGCAGAAGTTCTGAAATTACCCTACCGCTGTACAAGAGAACAATCCTGCACCTTTTCAAGACAGCCAGAACGGAATCAGTCCAGTTTCTTGCGGAGTCAGATTCTGGCACCTGAGAGTTTGTCAACCCCACATCAACAACACAAACTTCAGGAGAAGTTAGGAAAGATGGTTCTTTTCTTCCTTCCGTCATCAACTTTGCTTCCCCTCCTCCGAGAATAACTGCTGGACCCAGCTTCTTGTGCTAAAAAGAGAATGCGAACAAAAAAAAAAAATTAAAATATTAAAATACAGTCAGGTTAGAAGTGTCAACATAATGAACTATCAGCATAAGGCTTATCACTGATGCACTAATCACCCTGATTAGATGTGTTCTGCTTCCCTCCCTGTATTTCATCTTGCTTAGGCCATTGTATCGTACCAAGACGCAGACACAGAAATCCTTTCCAATGAACCCAGATTGAGTGTGAATTCACAAAATCTGTGCTGAGCTACCCCTGCAACATTTTTGTAATGTGAAACCTGATTACCTGCTTGGCAGTTAGAAATACAAAAGTTTTTCCACTGAATATTTTTTTCCTTTCATGATGCTCAGATAAATCCAGTTTTTCAGTACCAATGGAAGGCTCATCAACGGGAGGATAAAAGCTGCAAGAACAGAAAATTAAAGTTAGGAAATTCAGACTTACCTACCAGCACTGACTCATAGTCTTTTCTGGTTTAGAGTAAAGCTCTGAAGTTAAAATACTGCATTGCTCTGTTGGAACTATTTATATAAATATTTTTTTTTCAAAAGATTGTTAAGAAGAAACACTCTGATTTCTCAACAGCTAAGACCAAGACTTTCTACTTCAGTATCTAAGAGGACAACAATTCTAGGAACGTATTCAACCTGACCACTTTAAGCATTTGCTACACACACATCCACACTCTCCACTAACAATACTGACAAATGAAATTACATACATACTGTAGCCATACACACACATGGATATGTTTTTAATGTCTTTTTCCTAATCTGTGCAAAGATTAGCAGACTCTAAGCAAGAAACAAATTCCATGAAATGCTGAAATATTTTACGTTTCTGAAAAAAATGCACCATCTGTGAAAACAAATATTCTTCAGACACTGTGAATATTCACACTTATAGCTGAACGCAAGAATAAGCATATAAATTTTTTACTGCATCCAAATATGTAATTCAATTACAATAGGTTAACATGTACTATATAATTATAGTTCATTTTAAATGATTGTGAAGAACATAAAAGAATAACAATTAATTCCTGAAGCTTTATGTACACAGTGGAAATTAACCAGCCTGAAACCATCAGGTTTCTAATGATTATTCGATAAGTTTCAACAACCAGTTGAAGTCTGTTTAGAAAAATATTGTTGCACTGAAATAGATATGATAAAGTCTACTAATTGTAAGAAATAGGACAACTCAGATTTTAGTTATCAGGCCAGAAGACTTCTGATATTGTGTACCGTAGAGACAGCTATTAACCTAAGACAAAAACAGGGGACATAGTCATCTTTAAAGACCAAAGGAGAGATATAACGGGAGAAACAGCAGTCTCCATTACTTTGGGATTGGACTATAATTTCTAAAACATTTCAAACCCGTTTTTTAAATTTCACCGGGGAACTTCAATGGCTCATCTCTTCCTCAAAGAAACCTTTGATTTTCCTTTGAAACTCTTATCTAGTGCTGATCTAAGCTTAAAAGGCAACACAGCCTTTTTCTGTGTTAGGATTCCAAAGTGCTCCTTGTACCCTCTCCCCGGAAGCTTTCAACCCTAACACCATTATCCAGAAAAGTCCTGAGTCTTTCAATAAATAGATGTTGATTCTTGAAGAGTTTCTGTTAAAGGCTCAGTTACTTTCCTACTTTTTCAAAGCCCTGCACTATTTATACTGGACTGCTGTCATAAAACATGGGATTTGATACAGGGCTGCACTTACGCAGCCATTAGTGGTATCTTCAGTTATTCTTTTTCCTTGGACAGGTTATCAGAGAATACCAGAGGACCAAGGTAATATACTTCACCTTAAAAAGCCTCAAGCCACATTCATATGCAAACTGCAGGTTTGCAATTCTGTGAAGTCTTTGTATAAACAAAAAGCAGCTTTTTTTTTTTTTTTAAGATATATATATATAATTAAGATTATATATTTTGGAGGGAATCAGATTTGCAGTAGTAACCAACATTTAATTAACAGTGTCACCCTGTATTATCAATATATCTTTCTTATTTAATAACTGAATTGCTATTGCCCCAAGTTTTTTAGTGTCTTGTAGACATACCAGCTCACATCAGCTTCCTACAATCCACAATGTGGAGATTCCCTGTGGAAGTTAAAGGTCTTTTTGGAAATTAAATACAAACAGCTGCTACGTACATTTTCAATATCTTCCCAAGAGCTACATCTTAAAAATATCACCTATTTAAAATACTGTAATTATTTTAAAGATAGACCATCTATTCCATTCATGATGTATTTCATTTCACAGTATCTTCCAAAGCATGCAAAGGATAGAAGCAACAAAAAAACCCAAAACAAATATCCATACAGTTCACCTTTTTTAAAACAGTGAAAATTTTTCACCTGTATAAATCATTTCATACAAAAAAACCCCAAGAAAAACACCACCACCACAACAAAACACAACTGCCTCCCTTTTCAAGGTAAAAATAGTAGCAATAGCAGCTCAGATGAAATTTCTGCATACAATAATGGATCATTTTACACTTTTCTACATAGAGAAAACAGCTGAAAGGGCTATTCTATATATAAATAGCTCTTTCAGTTATTTTATATATAGTTTACGTATTCTATATATAAATAAGTACTATTCTGCAGTACTTATTTATTCCAAAGTAAGAATTTCCTATTTAATTTAACCATGAAAAAAAATGAGTATTTTTTTCTCATATAGTGAGGGCCAATGCGCATTAGTCTCACTTCATCTCTCAACAGATAACTAAAAACCTCTGCTTTTTCAGGAAATTCAATGGTGAAGCTAACTCTGTTTTGATCAGAGTTTACAGCGAGCTCAGTAACTAACTGTGTACAAGGAAAACATGGCTACATAATGGACTAAGCTTAATATAATTTCTTTTATAAAAATAATTTTTTCTTTAACTTATCAACTCCCAAAATAATTTAAACTCCCAAAAGAGTTTAAATGTTGCTTTAAACATACCAACAAAAGAAGATCATATTTAGAGCTAGTAACATCTCTAAGCATATAGTCAATCCAAGAGCTCATTTTATAACTCTAGGGATAAGAGCAAGAAAATTGTCTGAATATTAAAATGTATGCCCTATTAAGCATTCTTCCACAAATAAAGATGCTGTAAATAACATATTCTGTCAAATGTGACCAGATAAATGTGCAGTTACTTTATAATCTAACTCTCATAAATTTAATTCTGTGACATTGAAAACATGATACTTACTTTTCATGTTTTGGCAACTGCTGCCTGGACTGAATAGCTTTGATTAATTCAACAAAAAACTCTGGCTTTATAATTGGTCGACCACAAATTAAAGCACATATAGTCTGAAAAGACATAAAATATATATTTACTGTATGGAAGAAGTTCAGCTAGAATATGGATCAACTGACATTAGGTTTCTAAGATATTACATGTGGAAAACATCACACAAACAAATGGAATGACACTGAATTTTGCTGCTGAAAACAGGACAGTTTTGCTTTCATCAAAGTTATGAAAATGTGCCAGGCAATTGATGGAAACCAGTTACAGTCTTCAAAAATTGTTTTTTTTCATTTGCTTTCCCTACAACCTCTCTCTAAATTTGGAAAAGGAAGAGTTGACTTTGCAGTTTTGTAGAGAAAAATCTTGAGAAGCTGTAGAATTTCATTTCCATTTGTGGGAAAACCAGAAGGCAACACCACCACCATGCAAGAGCTCGACGTACCTTAACGGTAACTTTTACTGATACCATCACAAGGTGAGTACACTCCTTTGTCCACTCATTCACAACAAGGCCTCCAAGCTGCCAGATGGCTTGGTTTAAAGCAGTTTTCTGAGCTGTATCTAAACACGAGGAGCAGACGACCAAAGGTTCATATTCTACTCTGCAAAAAAACCAAGAGAAACTGCTTTAGTTATTTTCAGCCAATTATTATGATGAACAGAGCTGACTTAATTATCACGATTTGTCTCAGGGAAATCTCACTAGGGGGAAGCCCATACTTTTATCTAGATCAAAGAGTGTTCTTTAAACTTCCTGAACAAAGTAAATACTGATTTTTATTCAGATATTTTTACTTGATGTCTGAAATATTTCTAAGGACTTTGGGGTCTTTCACAGACATCATACAGAATTAGTGCTTAAAAAAATATTGTGAGGTCAGGGAATATCAGAAGAAATTTGAGTATGTGCTTCCAAATGCAAAGATATGCTTTTGTCCACCAACAGACTGGTATTTAAAAAAATATATAAACGTCATAGAATGCAAGTTCAAGTAACTTTCCCCTAACACTGCTGTTATCCTTGACCATAAGCCTATCTATATTTTGTAGATCTTCCATATGGAATCACAGCATATCAAATTCCATTATTTGATTTGGTGTCATCTACAAAGCAGAGAGAAATTTAAATAATCTTTCTGGTACAGCAGACACAATGTATCTAGTCTCATGGCATGATTTCTGTACATTTCTGTACCATATTTTTGTAAAATGTCAAAAATAATTTATTACAGTAAGTGGAAGAGAATGCCATTTTTTCTATCAAATAATACCAGCAGCAGTGACAAAACTGAGTCAAATTTTAAGGAACAAAGCCAACTTCTGATTGCTTTAATGTTGATTTTAATGGTTAGAATTTGTTCTGTTTATCTGCCACTTTACTTCCAGGAGTGCTTCATGTATTCAAACAGATAGCTTGTTAAATTTGAAAAAATTAGCAAGTTGGGTTCACTAAGAGAATGCAGGTGTACCTCACAGCAACATGGATTCAATGGCTAGTAGTGCACAAAGCATCCTCCACCTATGTCAGTTCTTTTCTTGTTACATCACCAACAGCAAACAAGGGCTCAGAAAAGCTCTCTCTCTACCCTAAACTTTCCTTCTTTAGAACCATTTACGTTTTAGGATTCTGTTCTTTGCCTAAGCTAGCCTGAAAATGTTCACTGTACGTGGCATGACATCTTCTAAAATGCCAATTATTTACTAGGAACAATTTTGATCTCTTAGTGTCAAAATAAATTAGATTATAAAAATACGTAATGGAAAACTACTGCAGAAGCAGGTGTGGAACAGGCAAAATACTACCTGTCTCCTTTGCTTGCTAAAACTTCATCATTGCTTTATCTCTTGCCGAGTTGTACAATGTGCTAAATACTCTTCAAAAAGTGCAATTTTCTACTTGGTATTTTATAATCAAAGCATTTACCTGAACTTGCTCTCAAAGACTCCAAAGTTGATTCTGTCACCAGACTGCAAAGACACTGAAGTGCCATCAAGTTTTGACCCATTAACAAAGGTACCATACTTGGATGTATCTGTTACCGTTAATACAGGGACTGGCAGAGACTGGCTCTGAAAATAAACAGAAATAAGTCGTTCTAGTTTATCAGAATTAGATAGTTTTATCAGAGACAGATTATTACCATTGCAGATCAAAGCAGTATGTAAATAAGAAAAAGCCCACAAATTACTATCCTAACTAAAAGCTTTGGACAACAAGGCTGACTACATGTAATTACTCATCTTCTGATTCTCACTGTGACAGAATGAGAGAAAACATACATGTTTTTAGCTTCAGAACTTCTGTGTTTCTTACACTCAGTCCTTTTGGAGGACAAAGCAATCATTCACTGGTCCAAAGCCTCTGCTAGTGCAACTTAGTGAGGCTCTGAGATTTATTAGGATGCTTTTACCTACCATTCAGCCCTGGCATAGGTGCCCAAGTCACCTTCCTTCACTGCCTTCCACGAGCCCTGCTAGTCCTCCACAAGCTGCAGGGCATGGTGGCATCAGCACGTCTTGAGAAGAGGTTAGACTCTGTCATATTTCCCAAACGGTTCACAAGCCAACGAGAACACTGTCAGCTTGTTTTTTAATGAAATTTTGCCTCATAGTTATACACTATTTGCAGTATTATGAGGACAAATGGATTTTATGTATTTAATTTCAAACTCTACGTATGGTTACATAAATGAAATTCCTGCTGACTGACTTCAAAACATCCTTAAACATTGCAACACGTTAAGTGATAATAAATTGCTGCTTGCTAATTCTCCTTAGGACATTTTTATTTTCATTCCCCTAAGCAAATACAGAATTAATGATGTGGAATAAAACACGAACTAAGCCTGCAGTGAGACAACTGAAGCAGTTTCCAGAACCAAGACTTGAAACTTGTCTACGTAATGAAATTTAATTGCATAATTTTCCTGCTATGATTATTTTAACGTAGATTCCTAGTGAATCTTCACTCTGGGATAAAAGGGAGCTTGGACCAGTAGAATCGTGCCACTAAATTTCTAAGCGTAGGCAAGTAACCCTGAGAATTAAAAAAAGTAAAGATTAAGAAAAGACAGGTGATCAATGGTCCTACTCCAAATATAAAAGACTTGTATGAGGGAAATCAGAGTATCTGTGGTCATGGCAAACTGAATTATTCACATCGCGTATTGATAATGCAATAAAATGCTGGCTACTTACAGGGGTTGTTTCAGGACGACTTACTGTCAGAACCGCATGGCTTCGACTGATGGACTGATCATCCTGAATTAAAATTGCACAGTTTTTGCGTCCAACAACATATTCTGTACCGCTTAAAAGCCAATACGGCTCTCCTGAAAATAAACCAGAGACAGAAAAAAGACCAACTTACAAACCGCTCCAAAATACTCAAAGCATTTAGGAAACATTCAGAAGCTCGTAGTAGATCTGAAACTCAACTCTTTCATGCATCATTTATTAGACTGATTAGAATTATGCATTTAGTTTATAGACAAAATCTCTTTCTTTCTTTCTCCCTTGCTTTGTCCGTTATAAAAAGACACATTTTACGACCAAAAAAAAGCAGTAACAAAAGTGGTTGTACTTTTTTTTTTTTTTTAAGGACAATATACTTTTCCTAATACTTTGCTTCTTAACTTTTCCCTTGTATTGTTTCTTGAAGATTAAGAGTTGCATTAAAAAAGTGTTGAATTAAAAAAAAAAAAAATTGATGTAAGACAGCTTTCCCAAATTCCAAGTTTTAAAGGTATATAATTTTTTTAAGGGTACACAATTTAATTACATAACTTATTAAGCAATTCAGAGGATAACGTTCTCCTAATGAATGCAAGAAAATCTGCAACAGAATCTTAGTATGGTTTAAGTTGGAAGGGACCTTGAAGATCATCCAGTTCCAAACCCCTGCCCTGGGCAGGGACACCTCCCACCAGACCAGGTTGCTCCAAGCCCCATCCAGCCTGGCCTTGAACCCCTCCAGGGATGGGGCAGCCACAGCTTCCCTGGGCAGCCTGTTCCCGTGCCTCACCACCCTCGTTGTGAATAATTTCTTCCTGAGATCTCATCCAAATCTACCCTCTTCCAGTTTGAAGCCATTACCCCTTGTCCTATCACTACTACTTGTAAGAAGTCCCTCTCCAGCTTTCTTGTAGGCCCCCTTCAGATACTGGAAGGCCACTATAGTTCAGTCTCTGCCCTACGGTTTGGCTCATTCTTGGTATCCATCTTCTAGACCATATGATGGCTCTTCAGTGAACGGCTTGACTAAATCCAGAAGCTGCGTGTTACCTGATGCCCAACAGAACCAGAAATGTTTCTGGATGAAAATAACTGAATAACTACAGATGAAATCCTAGTTACGAACCCAAGGCAAATGAACAATGCAGAAATTATCATCCTGGATACAACGACAATACCAGCATTTTGGCTCTTGCTCAAGAGTTTTCCAGGCAGCAAGAGGTAACTCAATTCATTTCAATAGGATTAGGCACTGTTGCCATGAGGAAATACACCAAATATCCAAAATTAACTCCCAATGAATTCGAAAATGAAAGAGCAGATGCGGTTGCGATAGGACTGGCTCGTTATGCAGAAGCGAAAACGTTTAAGGAGAAAGTTGTGTAGTACATGATACCTATTATCAAAGTTATCAAGGTGTCAAAGCTCTGAGGGATAAGGAAACTGACGAAGAAGGGCACAGCGGTGGCTGAGTTTCAAAACTCTGCATCCAACAAACAAGGTGAGGTCTTTAGTTCAACCCTGGGTTCTTGAAACACCAAGAGGTAAAACATTTTTTGGGAAGGGGAGCCTCTGGAGACACAGTTCTGCCACAGAGCTCGACCCCTCAGCCCTTTGCGAGGACCTGCCTCCCCGCCTGCAGCGGCGCCCCGAGACACCCACCCCACAGGGGTTCGCGAAGCCCTGGTAGATTTAAGAGGAGCTGGGGTCTGCAGAGCTCCGGGGGCTCAAGCCCTGGGGGAAGGACCCAGAGCACGGAGGCCTTCTGTCACCCACCACCGCTCCGCTCCGGCCCGCCAGGCTTCGCCCGGGGAGCACGGGCAGGCGAGCCCCCGGCCCCGGCACACCCGGCCGTGCGAAGGGAAAGGGCCGAGCCGGCAAGTTCCCGCCTGCCCCCCCTCAGGACGGGGAGCCCGAGGCCCCGGGGCTCAGCGCAGGCCCGGGGCGGAAGGGATGGCGGTCCGCGATGCCCGGGCCTGGCGGGATCCGGCGCTCCCTCACCTTTTCCTGTGGCGGACACCAGCTTCCACATCCCGGCGGGCGGCGAGGGGCGGCTCCGTGCAAGGCGCGGGGGG